TTAATATCTGTGAAAAACAGAATGGCTCCTGTCGATATGATCTTGCTGAAAAGCTTCCTATAGCATTTAAATATTATTGAAATAAATGTATCATTTTTTTAGCAGAACGCTAAATAGAAGCATATGATAATTGTCGACAATAATGTTAATTGTATTATAGTTAACACAAACAATCAATTCACTTGGCAGAAGAATTGGAGATTTTCTGAAAAATTTTCTCATAACAAACGAGTTATCGTTTAATGTATTAAACACTGTAACTTGCGTCACTTATGTTCATTTCTACCAGTGTAAGTTAATTTTAATTCAGGTTTAACTTGCTTTGTATTTTTTTCTAGTTTTAAGAATAAAAAAATTATAAAAAGTAAATAAAACCGAGATGAAGTTAATTTACATTGGTAGAAATAAACATTATTAGAATACAATAACTATAAAACAGAATTAATTAATTATCGAATCGTTTCCTTCAAATGGAAAACTTTAACACTTGTGAAAATTACCGCTTTAATTGAAAATATTGAGGAAAAAATAAGGATACAAAAATGTGACCGTGATAAGAATAGAAAAGGAGTTTAGAGAAAAGAAAAGGTTTAGAATGTTTAGGAGGAAAAGGTTGTGTAAGATAAATAGAATTATGCAGGATAGAGAAAGAGAATTGATATATTGGATAAAAGAAAAACTTTAGAAAAATTAAAAATATAAGGAGAATATATCTTGGGCTGCAATCAGGGAATGTGTTATTAGTGTTATCATTTCTCGAGCAGAAATTTTGAACAGGCTCTGATAGGGACCTAATAAGTATATATGCCCTAACGCCTAATTAGGGGCTCATCAGGTAATCTTTGTTAGGCCCTGACCGTAAATGTAACGTCGAGAATTAAGATTGCCTGATCAGGAAAAAATCATCAGGGCCAGATAATTGCTCCTTGTTATACCTTATGTTTTCAATAGGGAGCATTAAGGGTGTTGTAAAGGCATTAATAGGGCGCTGATAAGGTGTTTGGTACTTAGATTTGTAACAAAAAAAATTTCTATTTTAATTTTATGATTACATATTATTAATTTTTAGAGTTTAATTTGTGTTTATTTTATTTCGCATATTCTCTACTTTATTAATTAAAATTACGTAGGTTATTATAATTTTTAAAAACGCATCGTGATTCGAACCTGAGATCCCTAGAACAACAGAAAGACTCATGACTAATGGGAACGTTCGCAGCGCCGCATGGTCATGATCGTTACGTGATCATGACAAGCCGAC